TTCGCTTTGCTATCCATTGCAAAACGAGGTTCCTATCCCTGTCCCACCTCCTACTACGCCCGTCGATCGTGACGATAGAATGGACGTTCTCCGCAGAGCGCAAAGGCTTACTCGGATGAAGCCTAGATTGCTTTTTTCTATGGGGCTCCCTTTAAGCCAACATCATTACAAACATTACGACTTCGAATCTGCACCGGGATGTACCACCGCCGAACAATACTCCATTGAGAGAGCACAGTACGAAGCCGGAGAAACAACTCAAATCTATCCCTTCAACTGTGTCTGTCGTACTTGCAACAATTGGGGGCATAAGCAAAAGCATTGCAAGAGATACCAGTGCCGCATTTGTGGCAAATACGCTCCCAAGCACCTCACCCCATTCTGTCCTCTCCTCAAGGGCAAGAAGCTCCTTCATCGCGGAAAATCTGCTGATAGGTTCCATGGAGAAATGGCTAAGCTCGAAGCTGCCTTTGACCATGAACGTGCTCGCGTTGCAGAAGAACGGGAAGAGAATGAACTCGACGCCATCGCCATGTTGGCAGATATTGACGTTGACCCCATCTACTATTCCAACCAGGATGATTGAAGTCGGTGACTTCAAACCTTTGAACGGGAGGTAATGTTACGATAACATACTTCGGACCGGCCTCCCCTATCTTTTTCCCTATCATGTACCACCATATGACGCCTTATCACCTTCTTGTACAGCATCCCTGATCGCCGTCTTATCTCGTATCTCTTATCTTGTACCCTGTACCCTTACCATTGCCTTGGTAGTCCTGCCCTGAACTAACCTTTACCTATAAGTAGTCGATCGTCTTGCCTTGTATTCTTTAACTTGAATCTACTCAGTCTTCTGATAGACCTTCCTTGAGCAAGACAGCTCTCGTATACGAATTCACTAAAGACTCTTCGTCTTAAGTGCCTTTACCTGATCGATACCATTAGTCCTGTCTTCGCTTGCCGACTCTTGTCACCAAGCCTTGACCCCAACGATAACAGTAAACGAACCTCTGCATTATCTTCGTCTTTCGATAAGACTTAGTACAGAGCTCCTACCTGAGTCTACGCTTTCAGCGTAACAAAGACAAGACAAGTGTATTATATCAGTAAACAAACATGGGAGGCATGTAAAACATATGGGTGGCATGTAAGGTGACATGTAAACATGAGAATAGAAAAACAAGCCTTAGTACACACACATGTACATCCGCGAATGCACAACACAAAAAAGTACGAATATGAAACAAGATGGATGATGGCGAACTAATCAGGCGCTGGACCCGGACCCACCCCTCAGCTTTAGAAGCTCAATCTCGAGTTGGAGAGCAGCTTTTTTCTCAGCCTGAACCTTTGCTTGCGCCTCAAGAACCTGAAGATCGAGGGACTTTGCCTCTTGGGCGCGCTAGTGGACGATGGCAGCCTCACTGCGCACCTTCTCGGCCTGCTCACGTTGGTGGCGGTGGGCATTCACCTTGGTGATCTTTTACTCTGAGGTAGCAGCCTTTGTGGTGTAGATATAACTCATGCCCTCGGTAAGTGACTGCAACTTTCCTTCAACACCCTCAAGCTCGGCATCTGCACACTGTGAGAGGTTAGATTTTTGTGCGGGTTTGTGGGTTGTGCTCGGCTTGCGGGAAGATGAAGATGCCGAGGGTGATAATGTGGATGACGTGGTGCATGTGTACTGCGACAAAGATGCTGATGACGACGCAATACTTGAGGGTGTCTTTGGTGAGCGCAGGGAACCACGATTGACAGCACGATCAGTGTGAGTTTGGAATTTTCCGTCAGAGGGAAACTTGGTGGTATCAGGTGCATGTGTGGGGGGTGGTGTGGGGGGTGGTGAGGGGGATGGGTAAGGGCATTTGGTGGACTGACACAGCGGCTGCGGGGCAATGGGCTCATCCTCCCGATTGTCCTGTTCGAGGACTTCATCTTGCAGCATCCCAGGTACCTCCCATGGCGGATCATCATCCATGGCATCTTCTACGGCGAGAGCATGGCTGCCAAGGTGACCAGGGGCAGATGGTTCAATGGGGGGGACGTCGGAAGTGTGAGCATGATCAAGGTTGGTGTCCACGATGTCCATCGGTTCGCCAGCGACAGGATCAGGAAGGGGGATGGCTTTCCCCTTGCCCTTCCCTTGGACAACCAGATCCAGGTCAAAGATGTCGTCAAGCACGCCAGGGGTCTCTGCACAGTGTTGAGAGGATTGAGAGGGGGGTGCACGGTATGTTTGCGCTTGCGCTTCCCTTTTGTAAGTGCAGCCAGACCGCCGGCATGGTCTACCCCTGGCGCGGACGAGGTCGTAATCGGTGTGAATGCTGGGTTGTCTTTCCAAAGACTATCCAGCACATCAAACCACTGAAATTGTAGCAACACTTGCTCTGTAATATTTTGTGATTTAGTTTTATAAATTAAAATTTTAAAAAAATGCACCTCACAGGTTTTTTCCTCCACTAGAATCCAGGGGGTTAACACCAGCCCCAGTCTGCTTGAAAACTTTGTGATGCCTCCTGTATTTATTCCTAAGACTAATTACTGGTGGTTAGCTGATCCATATGAGAGGGGGGGGATGCGCACTAGTTAAGGCAGTTACCCACCACCTGTGCAAACTTATTATTATCCTCAGCATACACACTCCCATACTCCTCATTGTTTGCGAATACATGTTGAGCGATGGCCGCCCATATTTTGCCCTTGTTTCCAGAAGGAGAAGGCTCATTGACAGTCGGATCACGGGCCTTCTTTGATTCATTAAATAGTACACGGCAGTTGGCGGGATGAGAGTCTAGGAATTGAACAAGGGCATCGGTGCAGCCAGAATCCCATCTGACTGTAACCCTGGCTGCAGGGGCTTCATCCTGGGCGGGGGCAGAGCTCATGGTACTGTGGCTGGTAGATTGGGGGGGCATTGGATATATCACTCCTTCCTCATCCTCTTGTACTGCAAGTTACAGAACCCCTCCCACTAACACTACGCGAAGGTCTCCGGGCAGCCATCAATGAGTTGTGTATGGCCTTGATGCGTGCTTGCACTCATTCTGAACGTCGTATGTGTGGCTGGTCTGGTTCGAGTCTGCTGAACGTTCTGTAGGTTCTGAAAGAATTTCAAAGAATTTCCCAACATTTTCACAGCCTTACAAATCTTATTTTGAATGCCAGTATAATCAAACAGCAAAATAGTAAAGAAAGACTATGAAATTTCGAGTTTTTGGTTATTAGGGACTAGGATTTTGATCAAGGACCATGATAAGGAATGACCAGGGTAGACCGTGGGATATTTTCAATGAAAATTAAAGTTGTAGCCCTTGTCAAAGGTAGTCTATCCATAGTCTCATGACATTTTTTGGTTAAGATCCTAGTGAGTTATAAGCGAAATACTAGAAAGTGGTGTGTTCAAGAAAGTTCAGGCACACAACTATTGATAAGACTATCGAGCATAGACTATTGTATTCAACTATTGAATTAATAGACTACTACTTAGTAGTTTTAGTCTTGTAAGCCCTGTCAACCTTGTGGCATGTTTGTGAGGCCTGTGGCGAAAATCCTTGTAGGCAGGGGGGGGGGTTTGGGAGGCTTTTTTTGTAATGCTCATATTTCGCTCAAATATTAACTGTTTAATACAAATAAACCACCATTAGAACCATGGGAAGAAGTACTACACCACCACAGGACCGGTTCCGGTTGCAACCGCTGTACAACCGGTTGTAGGACTGCAAATAACCGGAAATATTGGTCTTTATCAGTTATACAAGCCATTCTTTAAATGCTCATATCTCACTCAAATCTTAACTGTTTAATACAAATGGACCACCATTAGAATTGTAGGAAGAAGTACTACATTGCCACAGGACTGGTCCGGGTTGCAACCGGTGTACAACCGGTTGTAGAGCTGCAAACAACCAGAAGAATTAGTCTTTGACAGTTATACGAGCCATTCTTAAAATGCTTATATCTTTCCCAACTCTTGATCGTGTTTCAAGGTGAGACCACCAATAGAATTGTCTAGATGAGTACTACCCGTATATGGGCAACCGGTTCCACAATGGACCGGTTGAAACCGGTCTTGGACCGGTCTTTCATTTTTCACAAAAGTTAGGCAACTGAAACTGGACTGGCCTAAACCTGCCTGAGGCAACTGGCAACTGAGGTCCAATCTTTTTTTATCCAGTTGTGGTCTGATTGTGCCCACCTGTCTTCCATTACAATTCACATACTGGCCCACCCGTCTTCTATTGAACCCAGTACCCCCAGCCCACCCGTCTTCCATTGCACCCGGTACCCTTAGCCCACCCATTGTCCATGGCACCCGGTACCCTTAGCCCACCCGTCATCCACTGTACTTGGCACATTGGCTGACTTGTCCCAATCAGACCCATCCCCCTGGCCCACTCGTCATCTATTGCACATAGTATGTACCGGCCCACTTGTCTCCATTGCGCACTGCATTAACTGCTATTCACATAGATAGCCTATATAGCACATTCCTATACTACCATATACATTATATACGACCGGCCCATCTGTTTGTAATAGGTACACACCGCCCATCGGCCCACCCGTCTAACACAGTACAATTACTACCATGGGCTGACATGGGCTGGCCCATCTGTATTGGTACATTGTCACCCTCAGCTGCCCGTCTAATATGGGTATAAGTTACTGTACTATGTGTGTGGGTGTTGATAGAGGCATAGAAGAGTGGGGAGCCCTTAGGTCGACAGAAGGTCATATGAGAAGCAGATATATCGACATGGAAGCCGCAATTTCAAGTTAGATACTGAACTGAGAGGAGATTGTTATGAAGTTCAGGTACATGCAAGACTCAAGTGAACTTGACTGCTCTAAGACTCTTTACCCCGCCCACAGACACAGGATTAAAGACCACTGACCCCACACCAGCTGAGTAGACTATGGTCGAGTCGGCAAGTCGAATTGGCACACATTTTGGAGTATAATTGTGAAGCCAATGGTGATGGGGGGTCATATGAGAAATGGCCCCTGTGTCTGCATTCCAATCTGTGTCAGCATTGAGCTGGAGAGGGCATAGAGGACTAGAGGAGTCAAAAGAGCGAAGACTTGCATTACCAGTGAACTTGGATATATTCTGGACAGTAGAGGACACGTGTGCAGAGGCAGGGACAATGGAGGATGAAGGGGAGGGCTGGGACATGGTAGAGGATGCCTCAGAGGCCTTGTTAGTGTTCCTCAGTGGGGCTGTCAGAGGGCAGAAGGACATGAATATAGCAGACCAGCTGAACCTGCTCGGTATGATTTAAAGTCTCATAAAAAGTATCAAGCACTTACTGCACCGATCAACCCAATGGAACCCCCATCTTCACCTTCTTCTACCATCACTGCCCCACCAGACTGTCATGAAACTGCTCTGATGTTGGCCAAACTTAGTGCGGAGGCCATGATCTGTCACTTTGCCCTCCTGCATTATGACAGTGTATCGAAATCAATGATTGAATGGTGCTGGTGAGACACCGTTAGAATCCCGCATGACTTCTAAGCATTAACATACTTCCAAAATTGCAGGCCTAGCAATAACGAGGGAAAGAAAGTCTGCTGTTGAACTTCTGTGAATACCACGAAGAATACAAATTTCAATACTAGTGCTGCCTATGCGCCTCCAGCAGTGGAAAAGAGTACACAGAAGTAGCAGTGTACTCTTGGAGAGAAAATGCTACCAATAAGACTTTTTGGTATGCAAGATGCGCAACTGATGAATGTGGGTATCGAGGTCAGCATTCCTTGTTGTTTGATAAGATTCCAAACTTAACATGCCTAGTGGAAATTGACACATACTATCACCAATTGTCTGCAGCTACTTTCAACTACCCTCTTCGAGGTATGAGCTTGCTTTGTTGCACCTTACACCATGGTTTTATTGATGGGATTATCCAGGAGAGCACGAAAAACTGTGCCCCATTGAATTGGAATGGACGTGGAGGGAACAAACAGAACTGATGGCAAAACTCAACTCGGTGATCATCAGGAATGGCATTTGAAAAACAGAGTTTGGTGTTCTATTTAGGTGCTGCAGGGGATGCATTGTCATGCATGAAACGAAGATCATACATTGACATTCAATAGGATAAGGGAATACTAGTCAAAAAGCTTTTGCTTTAGACAAATTACTCTATGTTGAGGCAAGAGAAGTAAAAAGTGGCAGAAAGCTCGTGTTTCATTTACTTCTGTTTACATTTATCTTTGTTGACTTTCTTGCTTCTGTTTCTCTTGTTCTTTTTTATTTGAGCACATTATGAGAAGTCATGTGACTCCAGAATTGAGTCATTTGATCTTGGACGATGTCATTTGATGTCATAACTCCACAATGATGTCACTCAATATCATAGCTCCACAATGATATCATTCAGCTCCACTTTGCTCCACACTGCTCCACAGTGAAGTCATTTGCTGTCAAATGAGTCAGAATGAGTCATTTTCCTCCTTTGGTGTTCTTTCCACTTCAATTCTGCATTTTATGCTACAACTACCTTATTTCTTCTCAGATTTGTGTCTCTTTCTATTTTCTTGGTACTATACAGTTCCTGGGATATTTCCCACACCAAATGTATATAAGGAGGCTCAATTCTCTGAGGAGAAATGAGAGACTCCCCATATTGGAGATTTCCCACTTCACATCTATCATCTGAAGTGCAGGCTGATACTGACAGCTTTACTACACTAAGATTTGATATAATCTTAGTCTTGTGTTATCTTTACTGTTGTTAGGGGCATTTAGTCACCCTAACCTTCTTTTCTAGTCCTTTGTTGGTCTAGAACTGCTGTTTCCTTGCTTTGATTAAGTCAGCAAGGATTTGTCTGGGAAAAGCTTAGTCAGAATTCTCACACAACCCATATCTTTTGTTCAAGAGCCATTTGGACAAAACACTCTTCTGGAGATATTATTGATTTTCTCTCTATAGGCATGATAGAAACTGTAAATATGTAAGTGTGCAGCCAGCCTACTGCCTCTAAATTCAAGGCCTTGCCCAGGAACTCTCCCTCAGTGCTTGACACTCCTCAAATGCAGAGGCCATTAACACTCTGTGGATACCCAGACATGCTGTCTCTCAGACGAGACAAGTCTCCTTTACCACCTACCATTACCTTAAGCCTCACCACACTCAGCATACTAATGAACTCTGTGTTTGAGGTAGAGTACCTTCTCCTGGCAAAGAGATAAGAGGATTGTGAAAAAGTCCTTGGAATCTGCCCTCTTTATGGAGCATTGTTTCAACTACTGCCTCAACTCTGCTAGAGGGTTGGTGAAGCACATCCACTGCAGTCTACATGTGGACTGCAAGAACATTGTCATTGATATTTGTGATATCTTTGTATATAGTAGGCAGTTGGTATTCCTATTTCTTTTCAGTAATGAAGCCAAGCAAGGCAATTTCAACAGCAAAGAGAAGTCTTGGCTTGTTGTATGGGGGGCAGGCTTAATGTTGGAGGTGTCAGCAGGTATCCTTTGTCATGTACCCTTCCTCCCTTCTCTCCCACTTCAATATGGACATGTACGGTAAGTGTGAAGCTCTCATACACAGCCATTTTCTAATGCAGCTACCGACCTTGAACTTGTGTTGACTAATGGTGAACTTCCTACTCCAGAAAACTCTTCTTCATTGAAAGGGGGTTATGTCAAGTGACACTATCCTGCTCAATAAGTGACTATGTGTACAGCACATCATTCATTCACCCTATCTACCCACTCTGAGGAAGATAATGTGTACACTGTCAATTCCCTGACAGAGCTAGACTCTGACTTGCCAGACCTCCTCACTGTATCTGACTCCGATGACAATGAGTGCAAAACTTATGCTGCTTGTGATGCAGATTGGTTCTTGGAAGTAGGGGAAGATGTTAATATACCATGCCTAGTTGATGTTGTCGAGCTGGATGCCCAAGCCAGCAATGAGCATGTTGAGATGCCAGTTGTTGACCTGTACAATCTAGGCTCTATGAGGCATATATCGCTGTCATATACCGTACACTGAGCCCCTGAATCATATCCCATCTCTCCCAACAAACAATGTCCGGACCTCCGAAATGTAGCCAAGCTATACCTTAAACCTATCCCTACCCCTCGGCAGGATAACTCCGCATCCCAGTCTCCACTGGACATACCCCTCAGAAGGATCTGCCCTGTTTCCCATATACATTGGACGTCCTATACGTCGGACCTCCTATTTATCAGTCCTCCTCCTGTATACATTGGACCTCCTATTCGTCGGACATCCTATTCATCAGATCCCACCCATGTCATCCACTCGTCCGCTCATCCGCTCGTCCACTCGTCCACTCGTCCACTCGTCCACTCGTCCACTCATCCACTCGTCCGCTCCTCCTGTATTCGTCAGATGTCCTATATGTCAGACCCACTCGGGTCCACTTAACCCCTAAGCATCGGACCCTAAACATCGGACCTACTCAGATCCTGAGCTTCGGACCCAGGTCCACTTAACCCCTAAAACATCAGATCCACTTCATAGTTCATCTCCGTCCCCATTTCCCGTGATCCGCTTGACAGTTCATTTCCGGTCCTGCTCCTATTCTGTTACCCCATTTGTATAGTCCCCTTGTCCTAACCCCTATATGCCTGGATCTGTTTGACAGTTAATATCCGACTTCATTCTCGATCATACCTCCTATGCCCGGATCCATTCAATACTTCATCTCCGTCTCCGTTCTCGATTGTTCCTGTATTATTTTCCTTGCGCCTGTCAGTCTAACCTTTCCGTATGTTCCTCTTGTTGACCCGGATCTCCGCCGACTCCGTCCCTGTCGCACATGTCCATAGTATATAATACCTTGTAAACTTGTAGTAGTTTCCTCAGTTCAAATATCACCTTAGATTATCCTCATTCCTGTTTCCTTGGACCCGGATCCATGGAAATGGATCCGGGTCCACTTCCCTGTCCAACCTCTGTGTCCTGGGATTGATTCCTCGGGCTATACTCCACCTCTACCTTCGGGTAGTCTACCTCTGTCAGTTTCTACTCTGGACACTGTCTAGTGTAGTCTTACCTCTAGCTTCTGTCCTCTCGGACTTCCTGTCCTCCTGTCCCCTCGGACTTCCTGTCTTTCCGTCCTTACACCTGTCTGTTCTGTCCCCCACGTCCGCCGGACTAAAAGCCCCTATTCTCCGGGTGTACTAAGCCCCTATTGTCCAGCGGACTAATCCTCTTATGTCGGCCGGACTAACCCTCCTTACGTCGGCCAACGAACCCCCTTTATGTCGGCCGGACTAATCCTCTTATGTCAGCCGGACTAACCCCCTGAACATCGGCCCGACTCTTCCTTGAAAAGCCTACCAGACTTGTCCCCTTGAAGTCCACCGGGATTCATCATCCTCCCTCGGACTTTGTTTCTAGCCTTCGGAAATTAAGGGCACGTACTTGGGTAAGGGGCGCAGCGCACGAGCTGAAGCCAAGCCCTTTAGATCCGCCCTTTGAGCACGGTCTTAACAATCACCCTATCAGGACCAGTTGCAAACTCCAGTAATTAAAGTGACTCCCATGGTATAAATGGCTTGTAAAAATGTCAGAGACCCTTGTGAATAATCACAACCTTAAACCATCAGATCCTAATCTTTCGCTCGTGGACTGCCAAACTCATATGGACAACTGTCGAGACAACATACTCAACCACCTGATGTTCTTTACTCATTACCTACACAGCTGTGAGATCACAGACACCTCAATTTTCATCCTTCTTTTTGCAAACCCCAGAGTAGAAGAAACACATTCAGACCACTGATACTGTTCCAAATGCTCGCCGCTCTGAGACAAAGACATGCAAAACTAGCTACAGACCACCCCCACTGTCACACTGGAGTTATAGTAGTTCAATAATGCTCTCACCAAAATACATGGAATTGCACGAGAATCATAGCCACAGCCTATTCAGTCTTTGGATAGACCTCGGAAACTTCCACCAGGCACCTATCACCTGTTGGAGCAGTGTTGTTGCCTCACCCTTCTAATCTCAACAGCCATATCACCATTGTGTTCTTCGGGAAATGTGAAAAATTTTGATGAGTTGTTCCAATCAGTCATAATATAGTGATGCTGTTCAAAGGACATTTTAAATTGGCTTGGGAATGTGTCCTGAAGATTACTGCATGCAGATGATGAGCATCACTCGCAAAAAGCAAATTTATGATATCTGTATTAGGTATGGTTGGTACACTGTTTTGAGGTGAATCAGCTAAATTGGCTAGATAAATGGACCGGGCCTTAGACATGATAATTGCTGAAGACCACTATATTATTTTCTTTGATTGGGAACAATACATTTAAAGAAGACAGGTCCTCCAATGCACTAATCTTTTTCTCTGACCCTCACTTCCTCCTGTTTGATCCTCTCCTTCTAGCTCCCTTCCTTCAAAATTTTTCGCAATTTTCACTATTTTGTAAGTCTTTCTTTTTTTGTATTCATCTTTCCTCTCTAATTCTTCCTTCTAGTTCTCTTGCCTCTTCCTCCTGTAATTTTCGCATTTTTGCCTGTTTTGTAGTTATTAGTTTAGATGTATTGTAGTAGTTGAAATATAAAATGGAATTTTCGTGTTTTTGAGTATTGAGAACACTATCATGGCAATAAACAACTATTAACGAGGTATAAGAGCTACAATAGCATAATAGTTGTGGTATATTTCACCCAACTATAGCAACTTTAGAGAGCTATATAGGGCTCTGAGTTTGTAGGATTTGTCACTCAGCTTGTTCTTTCATTTCAACATCTGTATTACCTCCTTCGTCCACCGCCTCTTGGCATGGGGACTCAGTTTGGTTTTCGGTACTTTCTCCTCTATGATGTGTTTTATTGCATTGCTGAGCTTGGCTAAGCAAGGTGTCTGCTTTGGGCTCCCTGGAATTCTTCCCAGACTACATCCCTGTACTAGTAGTTGAGGTTGATCAAGGTCGTTGCACATAGAATGTTGAGATTGAGGGTGCTATATATTGGGACATGGTCAGTACATGGTGGGTGGCATCTTGGAGCTGTATCACATAGCATAAATGAGTGGAGGGTGTGCGAGATACAGAATACATTATCTGGTCTGGTCCAATTACCGCTGCTTCATGATTTGAGTGTTGGCCTATTTTTAGGCAGAGCCATTGGAAGATTGTGGTCGACCATAAGTTCTATGATTTGCTGTTCTGTTTTCTGGCCTTTAGAGGGTGTGCATATCTAAGATGACTGTTACATGCCTCCTCCCATAGATGGTGATGAGTGTTGAAGTCGCCGAGAATGACTAAATAGTTATTGGGGGAGGAGTGTCTTGTTAGGGCTGGAATGACTTCTGGTTTTTGGCAGTTGTTGTATATGTTGATTATCGTTATTTTGCTGAATATACCCTGCATTTGAATAACAACTACATTTGGGGATGAAAAGGTTAGTTGTCTCCAGTTGTTTGTACTTAGCCTTTTGTAAATTAATGTGACTGTGCATGAATGACCTTATCATATGGGAGGAGTAAATTACATTTCATTCGGGGTGGCCTTCATATTGCCTAGAGTGTCAATGTATGGTTCTTGTAGGGCTACTTGAAACTGGACAAACATTAGGACACTTTTTTGAGCCACTGTATCCTTATAGCAATCATTTAGCCAAAGGGACCTTTGATCTCTTTTCATGATGGCTCCTAGATTCAGTCAGTCAAAGGTATGATAAAACCCTCCAAGTTCCTCAACTAACCAATGGCTTGGCTGTCCTGTAATGCTGGAGTTTGCCATGACATCAGCTCATCAATATTGCAGTGGTCGCACATGAACTTCTCTCATGAACAGAGATTGCTAGCTTAGCCATTGCACTGACATGTGATGTGTAGCCAGTTATCACATTTGTTGCACTTGACCATCCCCTCCTCAAGCTGTAAATCATATACATTCCCCACCATTCCACATCGACATGCTATGGTGTATTCTGATACTTGACTTGATAACAGAAGTGGGATGTCTGAAGTGTGATGTTCTGTACTTATGGCAGGTTGGAATTTCTCAGGACACTCTAAGTCATTTGCCGTAGTGGATGTCTCTTTAGGCTCTGGGTTGCTGTCAACAAAAAGCATTGTTCTCCATGATCTGGGCTGACTGAGAGGCTGGAGTATTTCATCAGAAAATGAGCTAGTTTCCTCATTCAGTTGAGTAGTCTGTTTTGTGTCGCTGTTTTCTACTAATTTGTCTTTTGGTGGGTTGCGCAGCCACTTATGCTCATCAGGCAGAAGTTCTCAAAGTCCAGGATGGGCTAGCCAAATCTTCGGATTGCCCATGGATTGTCTTGCAGCTGCTTCTGAAACATCGGCATCAGCATAGGTGGACAGAATGTGGTGAAATTGCAGATTTTTCAATCTGGTGATCCCAGAAGTATGCTTTGGCTGCTGCCCCTCCTTGGAGTCAATAGGTTAAAATATACACAGAAAAACCTTTGGAAACTGACTGTAGCTTCACGGGGCTGTCAGCCATATGAGACAATATAGTAGCACCTTTGATCAATTTTGCTCTGCCACTATTTTCCATATCATTGTACATTTGAAATGTCCCAACTTCAGCAACAGTTCTTTGCATTTTTTGAGGATGTCATACATCACCACCTGCCAGACCTCAATGTTGACATAGAACCTAGGTTTGAACCTTGAACCCAGCAACCACCTCTTCCACTCAATATTTCATAGGACACGCCCTCTGTAGCACTCACTAAGTGGAACTTGGTTATGGCCACCGAGATCAAGCATTGCAGAGAAGTTGTACAAAGCAGTGCAGGTTTCTTTTTCCTCATGAGATTGTTGAGCAGTCATTGTAGGGATTATATATCCTGTGATTTTGTAGAGGGTAGTCTTAGCTAGTTATATGTTTGCACTTTTGGTGCTTATATAATCAATCAATTCTTCACCAGTTACCAGTGTGAGTCCAAGTCCTCAGTTCTTAGTATGATATTTCACTCATGAATTTGAGGTTGAGGGTGCCAAACAGCTGCTTCATAGGTGTTTGACATAGTATGTTAAGCAGCAGTGAATACACGTGCAGCAGGCCACTTGATATCTCTGAGGTTTTGGTGATGACATTCCTTCACACAAGACTGTTGCAATGCTGTCCAGCTTGCTGTTGGCACTCAGTATGCAATGAGTATCAGCAACCACAATGACAACCATGCAGATGATATAGAGCAATCATCACTTATAGTGCTGACTGAAAAAGCTGGACACTTGATCACAATGAATCAAGTTCATCATTATTAGTATCAAGGGGACGGGCTGCAACATTTAAGCTTCTTCAATTTCTGTCAGTTCATTCATCTGGTGTTGAAAGATAAGAGCGACAAAAACTTACATACTGTGGACACATGCCTGGGGGTCATTAGAAGACATTTGCTGAAAGAAGGTCACAAACTGATCTAGATCCAATCAATCAGTGTATGAACTAGTCATTGAAAAAATATGGGTCTATCCCAGTACTCTCTATGACCACCCAGGGTCTTTTGGGATCCTTCCTCCCAAGGATGCTCCCCAGGCTAAGCACCCTCAGCACCCTCCTTCCTCTCTGCTCAATTTTCTAGTGTAATCACTGCTCAAGGCCAGAAAAGCACTGGTTAAAGCTTGGGATGGTCTCAATGATCTGTCTCTCAATGTCTGTCATTACACCAGCCGCAGTAAATCCAACTGCTCCATCACGCCTGCATACCATTTTGGTGTATGGCAGGTCCAACAGCCCCATGCGGTAGTAACCCACAAAACTAAAAACCAAGGTCCTGCTGAATTGAAAGTGATTGACAACTTACTATTTGCAGTGATGATATTAGCGCTCTATGCATAACTAGACAGGAAAAACAGATACTAAGTCCAAGTAAGGGAAAAATAAGTAAGTCTGGAATCCTCTGAGTCCTCCAGATATGTAGGTTGCTACACATGCTCTCAGGGTATTGAGACATAAGGGAAGCGGATAGGCTGCTTGGAAGCGTATAAGGAAGCAGATAGATATGTAACATTATGTAAGAGACTCTGAATGTGGTCAGTGACGGAGATGACAGTGAGAATATACACCAACGCCGGGATGCAGAAGGGTGCGGAAGGATGCTGATATGCCGTGCGTGCTGCAGAAGAGCGCAGAAGGTCGCATGTGTAACGTCACAGTAGCACCTGACAACTGAATCTCAGATGCCACAGAGCGAATACTCTCCATCCACTGGGACAGATCTGACTGAAGACCAGTGTCCATGGCCACAATCACCCCAATGAAGGCTTCTGCCAAGATGGTGGAAGAACAGGCCATTTTTTCACTGATGGTCCACCTTCCTCCCATAGCCAAATTCCTGGAGTTCCTCAGGCAAAGAGGGTAAGGTTGCATCCAGTGAGATCCCTTGCCACCCGAAAGAGCACGTCCACCTGTGTCTGCCTCCCATTGGATTGTCTTTGGTTGAATGCGGTGAAGGTGGGTTATGGGTAAGTAATCAATTAGCAAGAGTCACAGCTGGCTCACTTTGCATGAGTTGCAGGGCATCCAAAACCAGAGAAAATTCTTTGTCGTCAAAGGAAACTTAAATATACATTGTCTTTGGTAGTGAAACATTTCGCAGTGATGCACACTGGAATGATGGGCGGAAATTTCCCATAAGGAAGCACCTTACCATTAAGGCCCAGCTTGACTCACTAACAGTTATTGATGGAGTCTGGTAAATTTGTGAATGCAACTCATCTTGATCGCCTCGAACATTGCAGTTGTATAAAAGACTTACTTTGTTGCTCTTGTTGATATGGATGTATAAGCATCTGTTGACACAAAACTGATAAGTACTAACCTTTTTTATGTGGGATTTGGGTTGCTTGTTTGGTGGACACTCCACCAGACTGGAATGGAAAATGTTGCACTTCTCCCCCAAACTGACACTACTCCTCCAAACACCAAAGAAGAGTTCCAACAAGTTCACTATCATGTCAGTTAGACCATATGCCTAGTTTGCTTTATTGGTGAAAGCCACCAGATGGGTTCTTGTGTCCATAACCTGGATGCAAAGAGATCACTCTGGACAGATACCGAATATTGGGCTGTGAAGACCCTAAAACACCTGACACAAACACTGTGATTACAATGACTGTGACTAAGACACTTGTCAGAGAGGTACGTGCATTTGGTTTGCAGGTGACATACCCTCACAATTTCTCATTACAGGCATGAAACCAAGCTGAAGGATTCATCGTGAGTCATTGGTCGAAGGATGTGTGTCATTGGCTGTATAGTCCAAGGCTCGTCCTCATCTTCACTCTCGCCTGTCTCCAAAGGAACCTCCTGTGTGGTTTCTCGGTGTGTAACCTCCCCACTCGTGTAATGTGCGATAGCTTCCCTCAGGACCTTCAATTTGTCCTCCTTCCGCTTTGGCATGTCTTTGTTTTGTGGTACATGTAAGTCAAACTCACGATGCCAACGAAGCTGTAGAACAATGTCAGCAACACGCATCTTGGCCAAGTCTGCATCCACAAGACAAGGCACAACAGCATCGAGCTTTGCAGTGGCGGCGTCCCTCCGTTCCTTCCTCCGCTTGTCAATCTCGTGGTTCTTTTCAATCAGCTTTCGGTCATACTCCACTTGTGCCCTCCTCCGTTTTCTCTCGCCTCCATTCGAGTCCAATTCCCGTGCCTTCCCACGAAGATACTTGCGCTGACGGCGTCCAAGAAATGTCTTGATGTAGGTACCAGTTTGATTTTTCTTATATTGAAGTCATGCATTGAATTGTGACAGAGACATACGAGGGGCATGTCTGAGCGTGATGCGGAGGGTGCCGAGTGCACCCTCGTTTGCATCGTTTGTGGTTTCCATGCGAGCGAGTTCCCGTTGGGGAGCAGTGCTTTTTGCAATGATACTGTCGGGTGCAAACTTTGCACAAAAGCGAAGGAGAGTTTTGAGGGCACCTTCAAGGAATTTGATGAGTAGTTGTCGAAGGTGAGGATAGGTCTTTGTGTCTTGGGCCATTCTGTGGACGACATAAAAGGCCTCCGGTCGTTCAAATGGCTTTACATCAAGGGTTGCTGTCTGGTAAGTCGCATCGGGACCGATGACCAAATCTATGTTGACAATCAACATCTTCACGTGGATAATGAGATTGTCGTGCAGGGGACGGAGGTCTAGGATGTTTGAAAATGTGCGCAGTGCTCCTCGGATCTGGCGCATATAAGGATGGCCAATACAATTACCCCATGTACTGAATGCAGTCATCTCTTCAGCCATTTTTTGACAGAACAATGCCATATACACATTTCGTTCCATGTTCGTGTGAGTGCGGCTTTCTTTGTGGTGGAGCATAAGCTCCAGATAAGGGATAAATAAGGGTCGGTGGACTAGCCATTGACTCGCACCATCACAGTTACTTTGATAATGTGTGTTGCTCGTGTCAGGCCAGGCAGAAAAATAGCCGAGTTGATCTTCCATGTAGTATCGGAAGGCATCCTGCTGACCTTTCTTGTCGTCCTTGTGTCGGAATACACCTCCAGTGAGGTCAAGTGCCTTCACAGCCCCATGACCTGACACTTGAACCGCGCGTGACACTGCGGCAGTGTTCCCCCCTGATGCAGCTGTGGCTGCATTATCTTTATTCATCAGCAGAATTGGCCCCTCAATCCCATTTTTAACCCACCATGCTGTCATGCGCGCATTACCCCCTTTGACAGCATTTAACTCCTTGTGCATACAGCAGCCGGCCCAGACGAAAAAGTCAACTGCTTCCTTTTCGGCATCTGTCAGAGATGCAAAGTGTTGCTCCCCGACATGAACATGCAGCTGCTGGTGAGCTGCCTTTGTGCGTCTGTGCTGCTCATCAAGTGACAGTGCATCCCACCCATTGACCCCTCCGGCAGCAGCAATGATGCATTCCATCATGTGATCAATGATACGAGTGATGTCATCCAGAGGTAGGGAGGCCAGTGCCCTCTCGCCACGAACTTCTCTCTCACACGTCCGCTTCCATTCCATGAACAGCCGCACCAGCTTTTTCTGATCCTCAACATGATCTGTGAGCATGCCTTTGGATTTCGCTGCGAACTCTCGGGGATCTTGAGAGTGGTCCATACACTCATTATAAGCTGCATACATTTCATCGCTGTGTCCTTCCAACCCTGCAACTGTGTTTCGCTTGTATGGTTCACTTCGTGCAGGATCCCAGCAAATCGGGTCACACCTTCCCCATCAGGAGAGGAGTATGTGAGGTGGTGAGACTGATAATTAATATTTTTATGGGTCGTTCCATCACTGCTCAAGGTTATTCCTGTTGTGGCCGCATTATCTGACTGACTACAATTATAAATAGGATAAATTCGTACCTTCGACCTGTGTGATCTCATCCACAAGTTGTACTTGTGCTGCCACTGAAGCCTCCTTCATGATCCAACCAATGCTCCATTCACTAATTGTGCCCTCCAGATCAACTCCTATGACAGAGGACATTGTGGCTATTGCTCCATTGACACTCGATACGGGAAGATTGTGGATAGCTACAAGGTCACGGACCATATCTCGAGCAGCATCTGTGATAACACCACCTTCCTTCAACTTCAAGGTTGGCTCAGATATGGTGCATGAAACAACAAGTTTGTTGACTGCATTCTCGACTGCACGAACCTTTTGTCCTGGGACACGAGCAGCTCGCATGGACAAAGCCTTGGTTCTTTTGGTAAGTTCACCATTACGTTTTTCGAGAGTGCTGATGCGCATAACACTAGCATCAGCTTTGGCAGTCTGCTGACGGCATTCTGCTTCAGCTTCTCGTACACGCTTGTGCAAGGTTTCAGTCTTTGCCTTGGCACACTTCTCACGCCGAGACATGTTTACTGCGCGTGACGTGAGTGCCTGCATTCGCTGCATTAGGGCCTCCAGTTGTGAGTTGATGTTTTGTGAGGAAGCATGTGCTGGTGGAGGTTGCGACATGGTGGGGGTAGGGCTATGAGGACTCGGAGGGGTGTTTTCATTTCTGGCGCATTTTTTTGCATGAAGCTGAGCTAACTGATCAATCTGGGCAGTAGAACGTCTCTTGGTAGTTTTCCAACGGTCCCCTGGGTGGTATAGGGAGGGCATTGAGAGTTCTACAGTGGTCTCTGTGGATTTGTGACGCGACGCGACGCGTTTATGAGGCTTATGTAATACAATATGAGTCTACTACCTGTGACATCCCTGTTGTGACTGAACACGATATGCTGGGGGGTTGAGAAAAGCCATCAGAGGCCTTTTTTCGTGATTTAGTTATAATCTCCATGGAAAATTTTGAAAAAGTTGGTTGCATGAGCTTTTGCCAAACACTGTAGCCTTACGATTCGCGCGTTTTCCCTTTTTTGCATGGAGAATACAATCAGCTTTATATTTCGCAGTAAAGTCTCCATACAATGTAGTCTTCATAATGTTGTGCTTAATGTCCAGCGGTCGACGGTTTCATTAACCACCATTTCAGCCACAAACCCCTTTAGCGAGGGCATGCACTGAGTTTGAAATTGGCAGAGAGTTGCCTCTCCCCATTAGCAGCTGAAAATAAAATAAACAAACCGCAAATTGCAAAGATTTTAATTTCTCGCTGAAGTGTTGCGCAAACATGCCCACAAACAGGCAGCCCACACAAAAAATGATAGATCCCTTCAACATAGACTCTGCGACCAATCCAGTACTGACACCTTGCACAGCAAAGAAACCGGCATCAATCACCATGATGACCCCTGCCTGTCATAGGGTGTTAAATGACAAGAAATTCTCCATGATCTGAAATGTTACTTACCAAGGTGATTTGCGCATTGTTCTGAGTGTTGAAGTCATCAATGAAGTCTTTGAGGTCAAGATACTTGACCAGATCATCTACATGAATATGCTTAACGTGTTCGCAAACCAAAACTGGAAGGCATAACATAGCAACTGTAAGTATGAAAGGAAAAGGTCCCTGTGTTCTAGTCCTTGGGCCCATTGAATGAGTTCGTAATAGGCAAGCTTCAGGTTGGCCAGAGTAGTTCAGGTATTGATGATGGCCTGTATTAGTACTCAGTGACAATGTCTGTTAAGATGAGGAGACAACTGACAAAGCATGTGATATAGTCTACCTGTCAGTAATGAGATAAGTAAATAATCATCAGTTCTTATGGGCTTACTAATCAAGCAATGGAACACCTGGTTCTGTTATGATTCCTTCAGATTCTGAAAGATCATCTAATATCTGGTCATCAAGGTGCGATAAGATAGAGCAACATGTGGGAATATACTGAGACTGGCTAATCAATTGATGAGTTTCTCCATAGTTTCCCTGTTGGAAAATATAGTCGCCGAGGTAGAACTTTCTAACATCAATGTGTCTGTTGTTCATTCAGGTCACACTATTCAGTTAGTGTTTGAAAGTCTGGTTGCAGGATCAAAAAAAGACTGCAACCGGACCGAAAAAAGACCGGACCTCAGTTGCCAGTTGCCTCAGATCCAGGAAAGTCCAGTTGCAGTTGCCTAACTTTTGCAAAAAATGAAAGACCGGTAAAAAAACCGGTTTCAACCGGTCCATTGTGGAACTGGTTGCCTATATATGGGTAGTACTCATTTAGGTGATTCTATTGGTGGTCTGATCTTCAAAATTGGTTGAGATTTGGGAAAGTTACAAGCATTTAAAGAATGGCTCGTATAAATCTGTGGGGCGTGTTTTTAGGCTTATTGGCACTGAACCAGGGATTGATTTCCAAGCTTAAAAACCTTTACCAGTGTGTTCGTAGACCTCAAAAATGGTATGAAACATCAAAGTTAGATAACTCTTGATGATTTATCATGCTCCAAGACTAGCACAAAGATCAGACATGTTAGAACAGCGAGTCAAAATCAGTCAAAATCACTGATTGGCTCATAACTTACCCAAACCTTGAGTGTTCAACAAGATACGAGTAGCTATAGTATCGCCTTGACTATCAGCACATATTTCGTCAAGACACCTAACCCTTATAACAACTTTTCAAAGACGAGCCTGATAACGATTTTTTGTCAAGCTTATATCTTGCTTATATCTTACCCTATTGACAAGATAAGACTAGCTATAGTATCGCCTTGACTAGCAGCACATATTTCATCAAGAAACATAAGCATAGTAATGACATTTCATATTTGACTCACATGCAGGGCGGAGTTTAGGAACCCTTTTTTATAATGTTCATATCTTGCTCAGATCTTAACTGTTTACTACAAAAATTAGACCGTTGGAATCGTGGGAAGTAGCACTGCACTGCCACAGGACCGGCCTTGGTGGCAACCGGTCTAAAACCGGTTGCAGGACCGCAAGTGACCAAAAACATCGGTCTTTACAGGTCCAGTCCAGTTTTGATGATATTGTGGGAATAAAAAAACCAGTCCTGGTCCGGTTGACTCCAAAAAAGGCAAAAAGACTGGACTGGACCGGACTTTCAAACACTATATTCAGTGCTGCATGCTATAGAACTCACCTGTGTGAAACCAATGAAGTTCAGTTCACAATTGTCATAGAAAGATGCAATCCAACTTGAAGTCTCAGGGGAAAAACTCTACATGCTTCCTGTTGTATAGTTTCGTGAATAAATCATGATATGCCACCATCTATGATCACTTACTAAGATTGGGCCTCAAGTTCGAGTCCTGCACAATGTAAGGTCAGGTAGAGACATAAAAAGGTCACATACATTTATGATTCCATTGGCGGGCAGAGTCGCATTCTCTGAAAAGATGGATGCTATCTAAAGTTTCCAGCCAGCCGATGATGTGTGCCTCCAGTGCCACCAGATAATAGAGGTAGACATCAAATCAGATGACAGTGATCTTGAACATTAGAGAGGTGCTGGTATATAGTTCATTCCAAATGACTTCCCCTATAGTACCATTATCAGTGTTCATAATCATACTCATGTTGAATAAACATATCATCTAACTCCTCTATGATTAATTCAGAACTCTGGTTTTTCTCCTGGTCAAATAAATCTCCTTCTTCAACACATGTGTGATCATCCTCCAATGCATCCTCCAGCTCATATCCATTTCCGCCAACCTGTTCATTGCAGGGGGCCTCATTGAGACTGATAGTTTTGATAGGAGGGCTGAGCGCCTCTTCATGAGAGTATACATGCCCTACCCCTAGACCATAATGAAAACACATCAGCATGTCTCAATCTACAAATTTATGTTATAAATCAGTAAAGCAAAGGTTAAGAAGGTTGATTATACTCCCCGATTGACAAAATATTGACACCAATCACTTTTATTGCCGACTATGCCTGACAAGCCTTTTCCATCCTTGTGTCGCATTTCTTTGGAGAAACAAGGGATGATGTGAGCAGCTCTCATAACATCAGCTGGAATTAAAAATCCAAAGGCATCTTCACTATCCAATGCAGGAAAATAAAGGCGGTCCAAGGCGGTCCTGCCAGGGTTAGCATGCCCCGCTGGCTCATACCATTGTACAAAAAGAGACTCCATTTTAAGGGCAGCATGATAGGGACCACCGGTATACACAATGTTAACATGGTGCACTCCTAGCACCCTGGCATAGCGATAGCGCCCACCACAATCACCATTATTGCTAGTGCTATTGAGAAGCATAATGTCGCAGTGTAAGGTCTTGGGATTGATGACATCTTGATCTCGTCGCATGTCGTAAGTTGTGTAGTTGAAGCGAGCAATGTTATGGTGATATATGTGATTGCATTTGAAGAGGACTTGATCTGTTCCTCCTTCCACTTGTTAACATGAATCACCTGGTTGAGATGTCAGGATGCGCAAAAGAAGATGCTCTTTTAGGCGTGAAAGTAATTCTATAATGAAAGCATGTTCAGCTATCAATGAATCATTGGTAGAAAAATGTACCTTCATGGCTGGATCACCTTCATGCAACCGTAGGTAAGAGCCAATGTCGTCATTTAACTTCTCGCTTAGGCCAATGTGGTGGTGTATGCAGGGTTCATAAGTCATACTATCTGCTGCTTCACTAGCTCTTGCCAATGTCCACTTACTTAATTCTGCTTATTCTCCTTAGCCGCCTACTTGATTCTACTTATTCTCCTTAACCACCTTGGTAAATTTTTATAGAACCATATGATAGGACTTCAACTTTAGGGAACTTTCAGAGCAATTACAGATTATGCCAACTATTCATAATCCATTTATAATCTATAATTGCTCTGAAAGTTCCCTAAAGTTGAAGTCCTGTCATATGGTTCTATATAGCCAAAGGGCTTTTCCTGATGTGGTTCTTCAAGATGATTCTTGATACACCTAATACGGGTTTGGCAACGCTCAATTTGAGTGAGCTGGTGTATGAAGGATTTCCTATCTGTTCTAAGATATTGTCTCTTGCCAGTGTGGTGTTCCAATTCTCCCTGTCCAGATGCTTCAGATAACCAGTACAGCTGCAATTGTCAAAGTGTTACAGTAACATGAAGCCCCTATCTTTTTCTAAACCTTCACCTCGTCACAACGTCACACCTTCACCTCTTCACGATTCACCATGCTGCTTGACGCACTTCCTGATCCCCGCCGACCCTGACCTTCTGTGATAGAAGCTAGACGCTTCCATTTGGACTCTTGATCTATGGCCTCATGGCCTTACTTCCTTTTCCCTTGATGTTCCCACAGAACCCTATCCCTGACCGCATGGACTCCTGCCTGCTCATGCCTACCCGATATATCCTTTCTTGACCATTGTACAATTACCAGACCTGCCCTGAACACTGTGATCTTTACCTATATATAGTCGATCCATTTGTACTATTATTCCTTAACTTGATTCTACTGGGTTTTACCTTGACTTGTATATTCTCTTGAGTTAACTCTCTTGAGTCTGATCACGAACCCTCTATACTCTTGGATCGCTATCCTTGAGTCCGATACATCTTCTCTTAGACCGTTTGTCTTTGAGTCGATACCGATCTCTCGTCTAGACTTAACCGTCAAACACGAAACCCTTCTTCGGCCGCTGCCTTAGAAGCTTACCTCCCCTTCCGTTCTGTCACAACCTGACGGCTTAGGCTACCAGGTATATTGACGTTCAAATGATACACGACACGATAGCTTAGGACCGTCGTCCTTCGCTTACCCATCCCAGTCCGACTACGACCGTTGTCGTAACACAAAGCTTACTGCTTCAGTACTGTAAGAGTCGGTTGTTCCAAAGCGTCAAATACAAGACACATAGTCTCCGAGAGCATCGATCTTGTAAGTCTGCAGGTTGAAGGAAACTGTCCTATGAAGTTTGTTGTGATCCACTGGTTCCTCTACCATCGTAGTAGTAAGGAGGCCATTGGTAACAGATTTGTTGTTTTTACCAGCCTGGGTCTGATGAACTGCTTCTTTTGCTTGACGGCGCAAACATGTGTTCACTTCCTTGTCAAGCTCTTTGGCATTGTGGGCTGAGCATACCTTGACCTTGAAGTCATAGAGCTGGTTGCCGATATCAGTAGTAGTTGCATCAAGGATATCCAACGTCAAATCTGAATGCATGCGGACCTTTGATAGGCCGTGCCTATGAGCCAGGGTGAAAAGAAGGTCCTGCACTATTTGGTTGTGAGGAGCTGGAAAAAGACCATTGAATACCGGTATAACACACTTCAGAAAATCAGCTGAGCTAATCTAGCCTATACATCACACATACCTGGAGGAGATCTTTGAAATTACGCGCCACCATGTTGGAGAGCTCTGATGTATTTGCGGTAAATCTTCTTATAGTAGATCGTCCAAATGATGGAACCAGTCGGTATCTACAATGGCTCAAAAAAGTGTCTGAATGTTTGTGTGATTTTGAGTAATTGGATCATAGCAAGCCAGCACCTAAATATAACATATTGGTATAGGGACATGTCTGAAATGAGTCCATTCATACAGAATAATATTATTTGAACATATAAACCCACATAAAATCATGAAATTTAACATACTCATCATAAAGCCCATCTCCTCTGCTCAAAAGGATGATATCCTTGTTATCTCTACCTCTGGTTTATCTATCAGGAACATTGCTTCCAAAACTGGTCTTGGCAAGTCTACTATTGCTGCAGTTATAAAGCAGAACATACCAGATAAGGAAAATGTCAAAATGAGATGTACTGCTAAGCTTACCCCACAGAACAAAAGAGCTGTTGTTCATCAAATTCTGTCTGGCAAGGCTTCAAATGCTGTACAAGCTACCAAGTTTATCAATTCCATTATCTCTACTCCTGTCTCCACCTGCAGGAGTCAGGAATTGATGAAGAAGACATTATCTTTCAACAAGATAATGACCCCAAGCGTGCCTCAAAGCTGGCCACAAAATGGTTTGAAGACCATGACATCAATGTTTTATTATGGCCAGCACAGTCCCCAGACCTCAATCCCATTGAATATCTCTGGGAATTACTCAAGAGACTACTTGCTGCCTATCAAGATCCTCCAAAGGGGCTATTCGAACTATGAGATAGAGTTGCAGTAGAATGGGCAAAAATTGCCAAAGAGGAGTATCAGAAATTGATAGAAAGTATGCCTAGAAGGGTTGCAGCAGTTATTAAAGCCAAGGGAGGCAACACAAAGCACTAGAATCATACAATAAGATTGGTTTAACACAAAGTCAAAAAAGTGTCTGAATGAGTCATAAGAATAGAATTACCATATTGTGCCTATATAAGGGTTTGTTCCCACGCTACATAGCTCATATTTGAGCTATGATGTAGGGATCTCAGACATGTCCCTATACAAATATGTTATATTTAGGTGCTGGCTTGCTATGATCTAATTACTCAAAATCACACAAACATTCAGACATTTTTTTTGAGCCACTGTATGAGAGGACATAACAAATGAGCATCTCATTGAGAAAGAAAAAGTTACCAGACCTCCTGTCTAGCTCATGCACTAGATCTTTATCAATAGAACATATAATCCTAAGTAAATGTATTAGGAGTGAGCGCCAAACTCCAATTTCCACTTCATGAAGAAGATCTACCACTAGTGCTTCAAATATATTAAAGCCTCAACAACTAAGACACTTAGAAAAGGTGTTCTGACAACCTGTCAGCTTGGCTGAAAGAATCAATCAAGTTGCTTACATAGGTTGGCACCCGAGAGCAAGGTTTCAGTAAATTTTCTAATGCAGTGCTGTCTACTCCATAATTCTTTTCATATATAAGTTTCCTAGCAGCAACAACCAATTGTTCCTGATTACCATCTGAGCGCTGGTGTGTAGTGCGCTGCTGTCTATCTCGAGTCATACCAAGATTGTGCAGTCGACTCTTTGGAATCAAACATCTTGGACAGGGACATCCACCTAGTTGACGGATAGTTGCAATAAGAGCTCTGGTCTCGTTCGCTTCTGACTTTGTCATTAAAAATGACTCACTTCTCTGGGTAATCTACCGAGTAAGTGAATATCCTTGGATAGAATTTATGCATAACTCCATCACAACACAAAATGATGATACCGTGTTTATACACCTCCAAAAACTCTGCATCCAGTAGAATCTCCCACTGTGCCTGGAAGAGCTCTCTCTGACAGTGTGTAGTACACTCTTGGCTGACATCCTTTCCCCCTGTGTGGAGGCAAGTAAAGTCTTTAAATGAATCAGGAAGCTGGAGGCTAGATATCAGTTGCCGCACAACATTGATGGTGGAAATTCGGCAATTACCTTCTGAAAGTATGCGACATGATTGCCGAGATGGCAAGAAGGCTTGCACCGACAATACTTTAATTCATTTCCAAAGAACAGGTAAACAGGTTATTGCTTTGTGTTGCCAAAACTAGTCAGGTCAGTGGCGTCTAGCTAGAATATCAGTTTGACTGCCACTCCAGGGATTTGATTCTAATCTGACCAGAACATTAGAGAAACTACCGCCCTAGGAAGATCACAACCAGGCTCCCTAGGAGAATCTTGTAAGTCCTGGTGTGTGGTCATGAAAGCTAGGGAAGTATAAAGCTCCCCATGTATTTTGACTATAGGAGCTCGTAGGGCTCATAATGGAAGAGCTCATCATCCCCTACATTCGCTAGCTTCTCTTGTATGACAGCAACCAAAGAGCGATGATACAATTCTGCAGCCATGTATGGTCTAACACCTGCATGCTCATTGGTACAAGCAAATGGGATCTGAATAGAGACATCAGTTTTGTGCCAGCCTGCATCCTCATCCTCCCATTCATTTTCGCCCTCCCCATAGTCATTCTGACCCAAAGTGGAATTGATCTTGTCCCAAGGCGTCGCCAGAACACCAGCACAGTCAAAGTCAGAATCTGTAACTATGTCAACCAGTTCACTGAAACTCTGCTGAGACTTCTGTACTCCTTCATTCCAATACCAATTACCAAGTTCTAAAGATGACCAATTAGAGTAGGGATAGTAAGGGGAAGCCTCATCAGCAGGGCTTGCGGTTGGCAGAGGTTTTTCTGGCCTTGAGATGGTACTGATATCCTCCAGCGTGATGACCTCTTCTGGATCATGAGACGGTGGGTGTGAGGAGGAAAAACTGGTGTACTAGTCCAAAGACATTTTATGGAGTGCAAAAAGGAGTTGAGGTAGAACATCTTCAAATTGCTGGTAGTGCTTTGGCAACTGAATGCCATTACACCTGGTACTATGCTGGGCTAAAGGTGCATCTTCATGGTTACTATTCTTGTGCCCCTAATGGTCCAAGTTGCAGTTATAAGGTATGACACTATTATCCTGCGGTAACACAGATGTAGAGGCAGTGGTGTCATTTGAGGGAGCATTGCTGCTGGCTATGAGATGACTAGGAGGGAATATGGCCAATGGTGGGCTTGCATCGGAAGGAGTAGGCTGTGAGCCTGAGGATCTTCCGTGATCAGTGATCCACACTCTTTTGACCAACCTAAGAAGATCCTTTGCTCTGCTTAAAGCTGAGAACAGTCTTTTTTTACCCTTGATACAGGATTTGTGATGTCTAGTAAAGGCACTTTCCTGCTGAAACCCACGGCCACAAGTACAAGTGAAATTGGCTGGGATGCCATCGCAGTTCATTGAAGGCTAAAGACAAACAAATGAAGATATATAACTAAAATTCAAGTGATGTGTTAACTTACTAGCCCCAGATCTAGGCCAGCACCTTTGAGAAAATTCAGGTTGGGCTCATCATTCGCAGTCAAAAAAACCCACTACATATACACACACATACACAAACATACAGTGACTGTATGCGCGTATATGTCATCAGCCCATTTGTGCACGTACAAATATCCCCTATACATTCATCTTCTACCCGTGTGTCTCCTTCTTGCCCATCCCAGTCTCCCCCACACAAGCCTGATCCATCATCCATGGACATGGACGAGGAACTCTTGAGTCTAATTGAAGACCACCCGTCATCATATCACAAAGCCTTGCATCCAAAACCCAAACCATTGCCCTCTCCATAATACCCATCTCCTCCAGATGACGAGCTCATGCCTGCTGCTGCTGCTGCATCTACAAAAAAGAAGGTGGAGCCAATCAAAGCTAGGAAGAAGAAAGATGTGTCACCACTTCTATGCACACAAAAGCTTACCTGTTATTTCGTGGACAGCCATGGTGCCATTATGTACTACTATTATCCTTCTGTAATTGATACCACAACCTTCGCGTTCATCTGTACGACCATTCTGGGGGGCTGGTGTCCCCTGTATTCAATATCGACAAGAATCTGGACACATACTTAAAAATACTCACTGGGATCATGTTCAGAAGTCCCCAGTGTCTCAGATATGATTGTACCATCATATTTTATGTTAGCCTTTCCAAACCCACCAGCACTTCCCATTGCACTGCCATGCCAGGCCAGGCCTCCATACACAACATTGACAAAGACAATAGCCTTCTCACGCCTGGTATCACCAAAGAAAGTCACCCATCCAGCAGCTCAAATGACTCTGTCGGTGCCAGCAGAGGTGCTGATTCTTCCATATAAGTGACATATTATGATCCTCCCGTTGGCAGTGTCATGTCACATGGAGATACTCTGGTGGAATTTGTTGAGGATGGCCTGTCTCAACCTCAAGTCATGTTCACCTCAAGAACATCCCAACAGCACTCTTCCCCCCTCCCACCCCCTCCAAAAATGATCTCATCGGCAAAATCTATGTCAAAGAGAAGTTCTACAACATACTCCAAATCTTGTTCTACAGCCGAGGTCTTACAGGCAGGGGAACAGTCTGTTATTTGGTCAAGTTGGGGGGTGAGGAATTTATTATCAAGGATCATTGGGTGCAAGGACAGGATGATGGGGATATCCTGAATGTGGTAGAAATGCTGAAGTTGATGCAAGGTGTCCATGGTGTCCCTCACCTTGAAGACTATCAGATTGTTGAGCCCCCAGTTGCTGTCTCAGTCCTCTGACCGCCATCACCCAAGTGGTGCAGCCAAATCTGGTAATACCACTATAGATGATTGAAAGCACCAAAGTCAGAACCATGTCTTCTTCTGTAGTACTGTTTGCCTTCATCAATCACAATGATAAGTTGTTTGTGGAAGTGGGAGCTTGGTAGTAAGGATCATATCTGAGATACCAAAGTTTGGTATGCATGAACCAAGATAAGACTTGCATATATTTGACAGGATTGGCATAGATATTGATGGGTTCAGAAAAGGCCCCACAACCATGAGTGAAAAGGACGATCCTCATTTCTGGTCCAGTCAAGAGAGCTCCTACAAAGAAGCGACAATGCACTTGGTTGGTGATAACCAGCTGGGAATCTTCTACCATGTACTCCTTGGAGGCCTTGAGAAGAGCCTCTGTGTGGTGATACTTGACATCAATAACAGATTTAACATTGGACCACTCGTGTGAGTCATTGGTCACAAGGGTGACATCTGGCTTGCATGCACCAGTCCTACTTGTTTTGGATGATGCCACCACCCCTGATCTGGCTTGAAAGAATGTGGTACCGGTGCTTATCCAACAGCAATGAGGATCGTCGGAATTATGTGGCTGTATGACTCCCAGCTCTGTGAGGTACCAATCCACCCACAAGCACGTCTTTGCGCTGGGAATGGAATTTTTTGAGTAGAATAAGCTTACTAATTACTTTGACTTACTATAATATTCTACAGCTGTTTTGGTGTTGTACGGGCGTCGTAGTTCAATATAAGTTATAACATTCGAACGGTCGTGTTGTTTGACCGCATTTCTTGCTTACATAATGCCACACTTTCTTTGGCTGAGTTGCTGCTCCCCACTGCTAAAGTCTAACATTCAATTCACCAGGCCTATTACCTAGATCAAGGGATGACAGTGGTTGTTGGGGTGCTCAGTGCACCCCAGTTTTTTTGTATGATGAGGCAAGTCAAACTTTTGATCTGTCGGTCACATTTACTTATGGGGGGAAAAGCATCATGTGGTCCGGCTTTGGGTTCCTTGCAAGTGCCTTCATAGATGCCCAGCACTCCAAACCTGCTCTCGTTACATGCGCCTGCTGCCTAGTTGTTGTGACGTACATTTAGGCCCCTTGGCTTGGTATGGTTTACGTGCAGGGGTAACACCATATGTTCATCTTAAAGATGACTTATCTAAATAAGCAGGCTAAAAGGCAGCTGAGTGCTTGGGTGGGTCTATCAAATACTTGTTTTTCTTTTGTCCATCAGATCCTGTTCTCTATCAATGTATATATCAATTATTAGGTGATATCAACCCAATAACATAGCTGGCATACAGTGGCTCAAAAAAGTGTCCCAATGTTTGTGCAGTTTCATGTAATTGCATTATGGCGAGCCAAGGCGTGTGAATATGATGTGGCAGTGCAGACATATTTGGTAGTAATACCTTCTGGCTCGAATCTGAGCTATGTGGCGTGGGAAACGGAGCTTACAGAGCGGAGATATGATAATTCTACAATTGTGACTCATTGGGACACTTTTTTGACTTTGAGTTTAACAACTGCAATATTTATGATTCTGATGTTTGATGCTTCCTCCCTTGACTTTAATCATTGCTACTAGTCTCATAAATATATTTTCCATCAATCCTATACATTTCTGCTTAAAAACATTCCCATACTCTTCTCCACATCTCTCCTATAGCTCAAATAGCCCCTGTAGATGGTTTTGGTGTTTTCAACAATGTCCAATAGGGTTTATGGTCATGAAATTTGTTGTTAATGATAACAAAGTAATACTATGGCCTTCAAATGATCTTGTGACTTACTTTGAGGTATATTTTATGTCATTATTCTCTACTATGATAATCTTCTCTTGATTAATATAAGACTTTCATATGTTTTTGAGGGTTCTAATGCTATTTGAGCAAAAGAAATCATTAGCTTCGTGGTCTACATCAATGTCATCACTCATATTGTTGGGGCTACTCTTGCTATAATCAGTGTTAAAGCTGTAACATATAAGAAAAGCAATTGCTTCTAGAGGTTTATATGACAGGTACTATTTTCAACTTCAAGTACTAATGCTACTGGACTGTTTATGGCTAGGAGTATGTTGCCTTGTAATATGAGATAAAAACCAATCATATATGATCATATGTATACAAGAAATTAAAGCGAAATGACTTTAAGTAAAACAAGCATATAAAATACATAAGTTGATAGAGGATAATCTGATGGTATGAAGACTGTATGCAGTAGAAGGAAGTGAACTTGATATAGGGTAGATGGGCAGATATGTATAGAGTGATATACTTTCATTTTAGAATGATATCTACTCAGAAACACCTAGGAGGTGTATATTATTTAAGAAGGAATTATCCTAATAGAGGATACTGATATCAAATATACCTCAAAGTAAGTCACAAGATCATTTGAAGGCCATAGTATTACTTTGTTATCATTAACAACAAATTTCATGACCATAAACCCTATTGGACATTGTTGAAAACACCAAAACCATCTACAGGGGCTATTTGAGCTATAGGAGAGATGTGGAGAAGAGTATGGGAATGTTTTTAAGCAGAAATGTATAGGATTGATGGAAAATATATTTATGAGACTAGTAGCAATGATTAAAGTCAAGGGAGGAAGCATCAAACATCAGAATCATAAATATTGCAGTTGTTAAACTCAAAGTCAAAAAAGTGTCCCAATGAGTCACAATTGTAGAATTATCATATCTCCGCTCTGTAAGCTCCGTTTCCCACGCCACATAGCTCAGATTCGAGCCAGAAGGTATTACTACCAAATATGTCTGCACTGCCACATCATATTCACACGCCTTGGCTCGCCATAATGCAATTACATGAAACTGCACAAACATTGGGACACTTTTTTGAGCCACTGTACATATGCCACCAGGTACAGCAGATTTTCCTGATCATAAAAGAATTACCTATACCATGGGCAAATGGCGCCTATAGCCATTGGATAACTATGAGGTATTCTGGTACATGACATAGACATGCAACATCTTTACCAAGAATTTAGAGGTGGACAACCAAAGGTGTAAGATGACGAACCTATGCTTAAATGTCACCCCAAAGGCCAATGGTGGCAGGCCTGTACCAAAGGTTTTGAATGTTGCGGCCAGATGATAGAGAGTAGCCGTTGAGTAACTATGTGGTGTTGCACATAGTCATCCAATATCATCACCAAGAATTGAGAGGTGGATGACCAAAGGAGTGAAATGATGAACTCATGCTTAAGTGTCACCCAAAAGGCCAATGGTAGCACACCCATACCAAACACCCTCAATGTCTCAGCCAAATCATAGAGAGTAGACATTGAATAACTATGTGGTATCTTACAGTCAACCATGAACAAGGTTGGTCCTGATGTACTTTGTTTGTACCATCTTATCAAACTTAACTAGACAAACCTAAGACTTGGTGATTTCCTGATGCAGGTGCACCGGGCTTGGACTGTTTGTCTTCATCGAAGTGGACGCCATTGTATTGGAAATGAGACTTGTGAGGTCGGTAAAAGCTGCGAAGTCTGAAAGTTCAACTCTTCGCAAATTCACAGCTCTGTTTCTAACGGCTTTATCATATCTGATGATCCTGTCATGGGTTTGTGGGAGTCTGCAATCAAACTTGTCATTGATATACTCTCCGTAGGCAGCAAGTTCATCCTCTCGATGAGGGAACATGAACTTAATGGCTCTAGCTGCCCTATGCCATGCTGCAGACCACTGCACTGCGGTTGTGATCTTCTTCAATACTGCTTCTGAACTAGTTCCGGAGAATTTGATCTCAATGTCTCTGATGGTTTCAGTGCATTTGTCGATGGTGCATGAGAAAGAAATGATGGAGTGCACTGCGTCGAGATTAATGGACTTTCCGGAGACAATTTCTGCCCATCCAGCTTCATGGAATTCTGGGCAGCAGCGGTGGTACATAAGTCGATGTCATACTTCTTTGGGGTCTTGTGACCAATTGAGAAGGACTTTGTTGGTGCGTGTGAGATTTGCGGAGAGCTGACCTCCTCGAAATGATTGTTCAGCCCATCTGAGGCAGGTAAGATCAAGTTTGCATCAATTTTCATCCTCTCTAGGAGGGACAGTGTCCCTATCTTCAGATTGTCATGCAGCAACTGACTCCCAATGTCCTCTGGCAATGTCGACATCTCTGGACCATTCATTGAGCATATTGAGGTACGGAGTCGCAATGAAGGATTCAGCCTGGTCAGTAGCTTCGTGGGTTGCTGATACAATGGCTTTTGTGATGGTGACATATGCTTCTTGCTTTGAGATAATGTCATGTTTGTATTCTTCGACAACACTGAGGCACTTCTCCACCAACTCTTGTTGGGATACAGGCGATCTTACAGAGTGGGCTTGAGACAAAGTCCCATCCATTCCGGGTCCAGTAAGTGTGTTGGATGGTGCGACATTGTGTGAACTTGACATGGAGGTACAATGGAATTGAGAATAATCGAGAATTCAATAATAATAGCTTAAATTTTGAGCGCAGAACGTGCGCGAGCAGACGGTGCTCAATGCTGAATGATGGCATAGACAAAAAGACTAATGTCCCAAGTCTGTGCCACCAGTGTTTAGTGTTGAATATTCTAATGCTCGCTTTGTATATTGCATAAGCACATTCACTTTTACTTCCTTCACACACAGTTAGAACCTTCCTCAGTGACTTCTACTAAGCTCACTGAGGTCAGTACCTCTTATCCATAGTACCTACATATAACTAATAGTTCCTGTAGCCTCATGTACTCGCTACAGGTATATATGTCCAATATAGTGACTTCTGCTAAGCTCACTGAGCCTCATGTACTCGCTACATTTAGGAGACGGTATACATCAGACATGACGAACATGCACACAGACCAAAAACTTGGCCTGAGCCGGGTGCGATATTGATTCAACTTGTTTAAACTTAGTAAGACTCGATGTAATGGCTTGCCAATCACATGTTATATTGGGACTATTACAAAGCATCCTAATTGGTCGAAATAGATTTTTGAGATTGCCGACACTGGCAGTCTGGTGCTAAACAGTTGGAGCCTTAGTCCACGTGAGTAAGCTCATATCCTTTGACTGTGATGGCAATATCTCACAGTTTTGACACAAATTGCCATGTGAATCTACCCTTGTTAGCCACACCATCAAACTACAAATTTTGTGACAATATATCACAACAATAACAAAGCCACACAAGCATCACAGACAGCACAGACACACAAGCTGACAGGTGGGACAAACTTGACAATGTGATACAAGTCCATACAAGTAAACAAAGTAATATGTAGTCAAATGATGTGTATCAATAATGGTAGCGCAAAAATATGTGTACTGCGCAAAAATGACCACCTATTCACACCTAAACAAAGTGCGCAGTAACACTCCAATATAGCGTGATTGATATAAAAAAAAGCCCTCCAGCCTGAGTCGCGGTTGCAGAAAATGCTGGTACACCACTGACAGTTATTACATAGTTGACCTGCGAGTTTTCTGTGACAATCTCAGTGATAATCAGGAGTCATAGTAAGGAGACTTACCGCTGTGAATTCTGAGTGAGTGAATGCCGCAATACCATCTTTCTTTCATTCCATCCAAATACATTGTAACGGTGCTGTGCACCAAGTCCCCGAACCTGATGTAACTCTGACCAGAATAGCTAGTACAAACAATACTTGGCATAACGACCAGGTCGATTCTTCCATCGGGTACTCTCCATTTTTTCTCAATTACGGTCCCCAACCTTGCAAACATATTGAACCAGTGACCGACCCCTTTATATTGAGAGTGAACAAATTCGCTGGGACCATTCACCCATTTTGTCCGTTATAGCAGGTGCCTGTCTTGCTTGCGTTAATAGAGCTTGTATGTCTAATCCACAGAACCACGCCCATCCTCGTATTTGTGAACGGCCTCCGAGTAGTGGATCACAGTTCAGCTACCAGGCGTGAAACAGTATGTGTCAAATATGTGCTCTGTGCATGTAAAGATCTCGGCGCGGTGCTCCCTTGTCATACTTTTGCTGGTGTTGGTACATGAAGCTGTGACATTTGTCCTTCTCAGCAAAGACTGACACATAACAGATTGCTTACCTGCTGAGGAGGTGGTTTACCACCAATATGTCCTCTTCTTTCAAGTCCACAAATTCGCTCGTTTTCGTGCCAGTGTGTTTCATGACAATGACACTCCCTACCATGCCTCTTCGCGTCCCGGACAAATGTGCCATGCGTTTTAAGACACGGTTAGTCGTAGAAGAGTTGTCTGCCTTCTCCACGTACATGGTGAAAGTGCTGTCGAGCAGTTTTGTGTCATTGGGCGTTGTGTTGAAAGTACATCAAAGATGTTGCCAACTGGCAGTGCAGTCGTTGAGTTGATACTGTTTCACCCAATAGTTAACGTATAGGTCATCCAGTGTTGGGGGTCTGTGCACTCCATCTCGCACAGGAATCGGCACAATGAACGGCTGTCTGCAAGCTGCGCCATAAAACAACCCCATTACAATTTGACGAAATTGCTGTGTGAGCTGTCAGATTGTTCCCATCTTATTTTGTTGTATCCTCACCGGTTTCTGCCAGCATATCTCTCCCAGGAGGAATCTCACGTCGTCCCCTTCAAATTGTGGATCAGCTTTGTCTCAGGACCATATTGGCAGCAGTCACAACCCTACTCACGGGTATTTGCCCCTTCGCATTCGAAGTTGCCACACATTACATGAATTCGTTGAGTGCACATGTGATTCGTGCAACTGGTGTCGAGTCACCATTCCACGTCAACGTTGTGGAAAGTATTTGTCACGGAATTGCCTGTGTCCCAATCCACTGACCATCGTAGCCGTCTATCTTGCACGTGGTGCCAGAGTGTCGGGCAACAGTCTCCGCAGCTGGATCCTACAAAGTCTGTCCCACTTTCCAGTCATAGCCCTTCGTGGAATTCACCCGCACATCCCAATTTATTCTCCCATGGTACCAGGTCACCTGTCTGGCTCAGTAGTGCCACTTGCTGTCCGAACCATTGTGGGTAGAACCAGGTCACGCCTCCGGTAGTCATGAACACCATATCGGCTGTTGAAGGGGCACTGAGAATGATGAGGAGCACGCTCATCTTTGTTCCTGCGCTCGCGATAGTCATAATTCGACCGTCACATGCGTATTTTCCAAAATGAGTGATCATGGTGGATATGGCTGGATGGCTCGCGTTGGAGGTGACCACATAGCCCAGGGTCTCAACAACAAAATCCTGCAGGGTGCCGAATGACTCAAGTGGCAATACAATGTTAAGGTCGCGCATTTCCACGTCAACGTCACCCGTGACCATTGCGCGCGCGCCGGATCCCGTTATAATGGCCTTGCCCTCTTGCAGTGCCTCCAAGAAGGCCTCGAAGGTTGTGCCTGTGAAAGGTTGCAGTATTCTTCTAAAGTGTCTTCGCACCACCCCCCTTGGCAATTTTTCGCATTACACGACAAGTGCGCCCCATAGACACGATGTCAGTGATGACCAGGCTTTCCAGTACCCTAGTCATTAAGTCCTCATTCATTTGGACTGGTTTCGTGCTCAGTTCAAGTATCTTTGTGGGTGGCACCACTTACCGCTCATTGTTTCTTGCTGTGATTGCAGGGCACGGAACAGCGAAATGTAAGACCCATGCGAATCCGCTCGCAAATCACAAGGATACCCATCTTGCAGGTGAAACATCACGTGAGACTTCCACAAAGCTGCCTCTGAAACAAGGTCATTGAGTGTTTCACACATTGTTACCTTCGAAATCTTTGGTCTCCGATCTCATGGTCAGTCTGATGACCAATCTGTCGCCAGATTCAGATCGGCACTCACAAGGCATATGATTTCGCCAGTCTTAATATCTCAGCTGCAGTGCCTTGTGCTGCCAGGCCTGTACGAGTCCCACTATGTGCTCCTCAATCACTGTCTGTATGTCCCCTCATGTTTTCAGTGATGCGTCAAATTTTGACAGGTGTATCCAGTTCTACTCGAAGGCACGCTCATTCGTGAGGTCTATGGCTATCTGCATTTTCTTCCTGATATCCTGGCTTGGCGGGACACCAGTTCTCATACCCGGACGGTTGGAACGCCCTTCATCTCTGCACGCTTTTCATGCATAGTCCAGCCCTTCTTTCGCCGTCACGTTCGGGAACTCACTCATGTTATGCACATCACCAATGCCGTCATAACTGGCTCGTGCACAATGAAGATGCTCACCGGCGGCGAAGGCTATATGAACAACATTAACTTTGTGATTGCTCACGGCACACTCGATGTATTTCAAGCCTTTATCCAAGATAAGCTTATCTATCGATGGGCCACAACCAAGCCCCATTACGCATTTCAAAGTGCGGTCACTAGTTATACAGTCTACCGTCGCGGCGAACTGTTTATCACTGTATCAGAAGCCAAAATTGATGGGATGTTCAGCGTCATAGCTTCTTCGCCCACGACGGCCAACATGACCATGATGACCCCCGGCAGTTTTGCTACATTCTATCCGCATTGGACACTCAAGCGTGTTGCCGTTCTTAATCAGACTTTGCTTTGCGGCGATCATGCAGTCCATGCAGTTGGCTGTTACACTCACCCGGAGTTTGAGTGTCATGAGAACACTTACTGGTTGGGACCAGCATGTCGCACTTTGTGTCCTGCCCTATGGCTCAACATCGCTGATGGCAGTGTGGGGACAACGAACAGACTCTGAGGAATCTGCTCTGATGTGAGGGCGATATGTTCGACCTCTAGGGGAAGCTGAGTCAGGCAGAAGTCGGGCGACTAAGTGCGCTCGAGGCGCGGGAACGCGCGAGGTATGCGGAGGGCGCGGGAAATGCGCGGAAGGCGCGGGAAGGTCGCGCTCGTAGAGCGCAAGTGCGGAAAGATGTCTAGGATCGTGTAGGACGCTGTCATATACCGTACACTGAGCCCCTGAATCATATCCCATCTCTCCAACAAACAATGTCCGGACCTCCGAAATGTAGCCAAGCTATACCTTAACCCTCGGCAGGATAACTCCGCATCCCAGTCTCCACCGGACATACCCCTCAGCAGGATCTGCCCTGTTTCCCATATACATCGGACGTCTATACATCGGACGTCCTATTCTTCGGATGTCCTATTTGTCGGATCTCACTCATGTCGTCCACTCGTCCACTCGTCCGCTCATCCACTCATCCACTCGTCCACTCGTCCGCTCGTCCCTCGTCCCACTCGTCCACTCGTTCCGCTCATCCACTCATCCACTCGTCCACTCGTCGCTCGTCCACTCTTCCGCCGTCCACTAGTCCGCTCGTCGCACGTCTTCCGCTCCGTCCACAAGAATCGTCCGTCATGTCTTCCCATCGTCCTTGCTACCACGCATCCTCCTGTATTCGTCGGACATCCTATACGTCGGACCCGCTCGGGTCCACTTAACCCCTAAAGCATCGGACCCTAAACATCGGACCTACTCAGATCCTGAGCTTCGGACCCAGGTCCACTTAACCCCTAAAACATCGGATCCACTTCACAGTTCATCTCCGTCCCCATTTCCCGTGATCCGCTTGACAGTTCATTTCCGGTCCTGCTCCTATTCTGTTACCCCATTTGTATAGTCCCCTTGTTCTAACCCCTCTATGCCCGGATCTGTTTGACAGTTAATATCCGACTTCATTCTCGATCATACCTCCTATGCCCGGATCCATTCGATACTTCATCTCCGTCTCCGTTCTCGATTGTTCCTGTATTATTTTCCTTGCGCCTGTCAGTTTAGCCTTTCCGTATGTTCCTCTTGTTGACCCGGATCTCCGCTGACTCCGTCCCTGTCGCACATGTCCATAGTATATAAAACCTTGTAAACTTGTAGTAGTTTCCTCAGTTCGAATATCACCTTAGATTATCCTCATTCCTGTTTCCTCGGACCCAGATCCATTTCCATGGGCCCGGGTCCACTTCCCTGTCCAACCTCTGTGTCCTGGGATTGATTCCTCGGGCTATACTCCGCCTCTACCTTCGGGTAGTCTACCTCTGTTAGTTTCTACTCTGGACATTGTCTAGTGTAGCCTTACCTCTAGCTTCTGTCCTCGCGGACCTTCTGTCCTTTTGGTCATCCTGTCCTTCTGTCCTTTCGGACATCCTGTCCTTCTGTCCTTTCGGACATCCTGTCCTCTTGGACTTCCTGTCCTTCTGTCCCCTCGGACTTCCTGTCTTTCCGTCCTTACACCTGTCTTTTCTGTCCCCCACGTCCGCCGGACTAAAGCCCCTATTCTCCGGGTGTACTAAGCCCCTATTGTCCGGCGGACTAATCCTCTTATGTCGGCCGGACTAACCCTCCTTACGTCGGCTGACGAACCCCCTTTATGTCGGCCGGACTAATCCTCTTATTCGGCCGGACTAACCCTCCTTACGTCGGCCGACGAACCCCCTTTATGTCGGCCGGACTAATCCTCTTATGTCAGCCGGACTAACCCTATGATTGGCCGGACTAACCCCCTGAACATCGGCCTGACTCTTCCTCAAAAAGCCTACCAGACTTGTCCCCTTGAAGTCCACCGGGATTCATCATCCTCCCTCGGACTTTGTTTCTAGCCTTCGGAAATGGGCACGTACTCGGGTAAGGGGCGCAGCGCACGAGCTGAAGCCAAGCCCTTCGGATCCGCCCTTTGAGCACGGTCTTAACAGACGCGAGGAATGGGTATCAAGCCAATGTATTATGAATATAGACTGATAAGGGAAGGAGAATATGACTCCTGGCTATAGATAAATGCTCTCTAAGACATAGCACAAACTGCGGAACTCTTCTAAGGGTGATTGCATAAGTAGGAACCTTCTGTCAGAAAGCCCAGTAGATATAGAGGATAGCTAGCGAAGAGGGAGCGAAAAGTGTCCTAAAGCGGCCGAGGAGCGCGGAAGCGCGGGAACGCGGCCGAGGAATGTCACAGATGTATGTAAGGAGACAGCAGCTGTCAGAAAACCAATATATGTATGTAATACGCACCTATGGACCGAATAGACAATGGATGGATGGATCGGAGGAAGCACGGGAAAGCGTGCGCTGAGCGCGAGCGCGGGAAGTGCGCGGAAGGTGCGGAAGGTCGCGGGAAAGTCGTGCCCACCTGTGGATAGGGATGAGGTCGATGTAGAAATCAGGGAATACGAGCCTGTAGAGATATCACTCTCTACAGTGGCAAACAGTCTTTGGTGTTGCAGTGGGATGCCAGATTCTCTCTCGCATCAATGTTGGCCCGCTCGCACACCATCTGGCGTCTTGCAGATCGCTGCACTAATCTGTATTGCATGTATAATCCTTCTAACAATGTCGGCACATCTCTGCTCCCTCCTGATCCCATGCTGTTTGATCTCATCAGTGTTCAGCTGCAAGAACAGCGCATCGACAAGCACTATCCAGTTAGTTTTTGCTTTCCTTCTGACTCGCCCGGCTGACGTATGCTTCACTCAGCGATATACAGGTCATGGTGTCGGGCTTCTGTATGCCACAAGTGCCTCGTCGCCTTACCTTGTCTCAGTACCCTTTCTTGATGGGGTCAATCGCTTCACCCACATATCCCAACTCGAGGTGTCTCACTGGGTTGATCGTCTCATCGATGATCGCTTTATTGTATCAACTTCAAAGCTTCGTAAAACTTACAAAGTCACATCGGACGCCAGCGCCGAGGACACAGCATACAGCTATACTTTCTATCGCGAAAGCCCCTCGTCGTTCGCGCCTCCAAATTTGCTGGTGCGAGAGATGTTGGATATCGTTGATGCAGCTGATGATGTGCAAGGCAATATCTTAGTTGTGAAGCACGTGAAAGGCAACAAGCACATTGTTGTCGATGTGACCCGTGGTGACATCGCCCTCGTAGACTCTATTATCAGAAGGTGAGACGCTCAGATTTTGTGTGGCGGTAGTGTTAACTTATTCTTCGCAGCGCAGTCAGTCGATTTGACTCCAATTTTTGGCTGTGACCGTCCAGGTGTATGAGTGCTGTTGTATACCTCCCATTTTATTTATCTTGGTGTACTGTTATTTTGTGTGTACGTTCCCTTGTGAGTCCTTGTTCATGTCATTATCAACCCGTATAATACCCAATCAATTTTCGACCGAAGGGGTTGTGACGTCACTCACACGTCGCCTCTGCTGTCGACCTTTCATTGATCTCTTGGCCACTCCTCCAGTCTAATTGAAATCACTCGCTCTTGTAGGTCCTCGAACCTTTGTTGAACTGTTCTCGCACGTTTGTATCCACTCAAGTCTTGCCTCTCACATCAATCATGATACGGAAACTTGTATTCAGGTATACCACATTCCTATTCATAATCAGAACTGAGCCCGGTGTTGAACATCTCATTGCGCCCTCTGTTCCTTGTTCCATGTTGAAGGTAACTGCCTGCTGTGTTCTAGCTATCCACGAGAATTTACACCTCGAATTATGATGATTACTCTCCCATTTGACATTCATAAAGTCATCTCGGTGTCCTCATTACCACTGACAATGGACCTCTTTGCCGGAGACTGTCCTGCAAGTTCTTCTGAAGCCCTTCTCTTGCCCTTTAGATCTAAGATGGCGGGCTTCAAGTAAGCGGCGCATGGCAGTAACTGCATTCGCCGCACACACCTTTCAGTCTTATGGTACTGCATAACCTGTTGATAGGACATGTACATTGACCTGCAAAACCAGGTGTACAGGACACCGGCCGGCCAATGCACTGCCTGTATAGGCCGGTCATGCAGAACCTGTGCAGGCCGGTGTCCTATATACAGAATGATAACTCTGCAGTATCTGTGTAGGCCGGTGATGCAGACCCTTGCAGGCTGATGCCTCAGCCAGATCATGATATCTCTGCACTACCTGTATAGGCCGGTCATGCAGAACCCTTGCAGGCCGGTGTCCTATATACAGAATGATATCTCTGCAGTATCTGTGTAGGCCGGTGATGCAGACCCTTGCAGGCCGATGCCTCAGCCAAATCATAATATCTCTACACTCCCTGTATATGCTGGTGATGCAGAACCCTTACAGGCCAATGCTCCATATAGAAAATATATCTTTTGCTGATGATGTAGGACCCCTGCAGGTTCATGCCTCATATAGAGAATGATATTTCTATGCTACTTATATAGGTCAAACCAGAATATTGAAGTAGATCTGGCCAACCTGCACCCTCAATATTTATGCAGGCTGTCCTAAATGCTCTAATATCAAATGAGATTCCATACAGGAGTAGGTCTAGCCAACCTCACTCATGTAATAAAACATATATCTCATATGGGATAATATAAACGGTGACTGAACAAAAAACAAAAATACAGTCTACTTACACTCCTTATCTCGTATGGGATAGTATAAATGGTGACTAAAATAAGTAGCATAGAAATAGCATTTTCTATATGAGGCATGAACCTGCAGGGGTCCTACATCTATCCCATATGAGATATATCTTTTGTTACATGAGTGAGGTTGGCTAGACCTACTCCTGTATGGAATCTCATTTGATATTAGAGCATTTAGGACAGCCTGCATAAATATTGAGGTCTACCTACACTCCTTATCTCATATGGGATAATATAAATGGTGACTGAATAAAAAATAAAAATACAGTCTACATATACTCCTTACAGGTGACTAGTGAAGCTGGCTTAATGAGCCAATATGTTATTGATAGGCCGGCCGCCCATGGCCTACATACTGCACAGACTGGCTGGCCCAATGGGCCAATATGTTATTGATAGGCCGGCCGCCCATGCTTCACATACTGCATGGACTGACTGGCCCAATGGGCCAATATGTTATTGATAGGCCGGCCGCCCATGCTTCACATACTGCATGGACTGACTGGCCCAATGGGCCAATATGTTATTGATAGGCCGGCCGCCCATGCTTCACATACTGCATGGACTGACTGGCCCAATAGGCCAATATGTTATCAGTAGCCCGGCCGGCCATGTCCTACATACTGCATAGACCGGGTGGCCCAAAGGCCCAAAAAGTGTTCAGTGGGGCGGCCGCCCCTGTTTCTACATCCCGTATAGGGCAGCTGGCCCACTAGGCCAATATAATACCAGTAGGTCGGCCGGCCATGGCCTACATGCTGCACAGACTGGCTGGCCAATAGTCCAATAAGGTATCAGTGGGTCGGTCATTCCATTTATGCATCCTGCTAAAGTATTGTCAGTGCTAACATCAATGTTACTCAAAAAGACATGAAAATTCAAGTGTATCTGACAACAAACTGCAAGAAGGGGATTCTAAGTTCTTAAACTTCTTTGAAGCTGCTCTGTCTCTGGTAGAGCGACGAGGAGGATCAGGAGGAGCAGATGTCTTCACCTTTTTCATGACTGAATCATCCACATCTGTTGCTGGGCGTTTACCCTTCCCTTTTCCTCCAGTGTTAGTACTGCTTGCCTTCTTTGATGTGGCAGCCCTCTGATCAGCCACCCTCTTCTCCTCAGCCACCCTCTTCTCCTCAGCCACCCTCTTTTCCTCAGCCACCTTTGCCTGCTCTGCCTCCCTCCTCTCTTTCACCTGCCTTTTGTTCTCCAGACGCCTCATGTGAACTTCTTCCCCCACTGTCATCTGCTTCTCATTACCATCTGGCAGCATTGCGTCCACCTTCACCTGGATTCTGATAATGGCCTCTTCAACCTTGTCCCCCACCTCGAAGCCAAGGATGGAGTCGCCCAAATATTGAGGCACATCATCTCCAGCCTCATCTGCTTCATACTCCTGAGCGCGGCAACACTCACGAATGAGGAGTCCAAGGCCCAGGACAACAATCATACCCAAACCACGAGATTTGATGACATAGTTGCCTAGTTCCTCCAAAGCGACAGAGGAAGCCTGAATATCACTGTGCATATTTTGAGGTAGATATGCCTCAGACCAAGTCCAAGATGCCCAGACAGGCAGATGTTGCTTCCTAGCCTTGCCCTTAGGATCAGGAGTTTGCTTTCAAAAAATAGTCAATTTTAATGCTGTTATCACAAATGTAGTGAATTATACATACTGTCTTGGAGAGTTTTTGAACTGTGGCCAACAGACGAGAATATGATGGGAGGGTAGAGAGGGATTGAAGATAACCGACTGTGTCACCACCCATATGGAATTTCGGGCAGGAATCGGAAAGAGATGGGGTGTGGCTTTCCAAGTCATCCTCTTCGTCAGAAGAACCATTGGCTTGGGGGGCCTTCTTCAGTACCTCGTCCTCATCTGATGATACTTCGACATATTTTGGGTTCTTCCTTGATTTTTTACTTACATCCCCCTTCTTAGCCAGTGAATCATAGAAGTCGCCTTCCTTATACCCAACGAACCGGACAATTGGTTCATTATGGTTAGCACGATATTTCCAAAGTGAAAAAATCATACTGATGGCTTCCTTCTGCAGGTGAGAAGGATCCTTGATGACGACATTTCGAGGGATACAGTCCATGTCAAGGTAATGGTCTGGATCTTGGGTAATATGACCCCAGGGGACTGCAGCCCTAGGGTTGTTTGAGATGACCGCTGTTGAATGTAAGCGGTCAGAAAAATACAGTACTTCGAAAATAGAAATGAATCACCATAAGCCTTTTGAAATACCTTTCGTACGACCTTCTGCTGGTTCTTGAGCATGAGAGATTCAAAGCCTGTCGGTAGGCAAGGATAGCCCTCATCGTCTACCTCCACTGTTAAATCGGGCAACTTCTCATCTTCCTCGTCAGATTGGTCCTCAGCGTCTAAGCCTGTTGCTAGATCATTAGCAATTAAATAAATTACTGTATCCAAGACTTACTATACTCGGCTTCATTCAGCCAGTCAGCAAGTCGGTCTTGGGACTCTCCAGCCCATTTCTTGTTGTCTTTGGTAGCCAGAGTAAAAGTTTTCTTCGCCTTCCTGGGACAGGATTCCCAACTAAACCAATAGATTGTCAATGGTAATGTCAATGGGAAAAAAATAACACTGACATGGTTGTTCCAGGCATTTTCCCCTCCCCTCGATCATGAGCTACGAGCATCACAACATGTAAACCCATGGTTCTTCCTGCCATCTTTATGAAGTCCTCCATGATTTTCTTCTGGTGTCGGCTGCGGTATCTGTAGATACACATGAGTTTTTCCTAAATATAGCAATGTAGTGTTAAAAAAATACCTGTCCTTGGCGTCGGAAAGAGCACCTTCCTGGTTCCACTTTTCTGCCACAAGTCTGAGCTCCTCATGTACATCTGGTGACAGGGCATTGTACCAGGACCGGACCAGCTTTGTCCTTGTCCCCATGGACCTTAGGTCAGAGGTGTCACGGTGCTTCTTGTCATACTCCCCAATTTCTTCTTTGAACAACTTCTGAGCGACATCAAAAGGAGAGAATTCGGTCTTGAATGCTGCAGCATCCAGAGGCTTGTCATCCTGACGGCCTTTGACCATATCTACAGTGATGATGCCTGCACCAGATGTGAGTTTATGAGCTCCCTCGATGATTTTTTGCTCGAGATCGCGGTCCTCGTCATCCTCCAGAAAACGCAAGTAATATGTACGGATAGCCTATAAAATTAGATTAATATAGACAAAGAGACTGGAAGCTCACCTTCCGAATGTTATTGCCTGGAAGCATAGTCGAAGCATCCTTGGCCTGGTCACTTTCAAGTATGGCATCTTTGATGCTTTTGAGGATTTTTGCCCTCTCAGCAGGGTTTCCTCTAGCTGAGACATAGGAAATCTTGTGCTCATCCAAAACAGCCTTGAATACATGTGTCCAGTCAGCCATTGTATGCAAAAATCTTGAGAATGGAGGCCGGTATAAGTTTGCAGAATGTGTAACCAGTACCAACTCACTTGACAACAGATCAACAAACCATGTCACATGATCAAAACACGGTCACATGCTCATCAGGTGACTATCTTGAGGTCACATGATTCAAATAACCAGCACAAAATCACCCAAGTATAAATCTGACCGACTCACAAATTCAATGACATTAGCTTATATACCAAATCTCAAGATTCAGACACCAAACAAATGATTACTCAAACTCAGAACAATGATAACATGAAGCAAAGTACAAAGTAAGACAGATATTCAAGAAAAATATGTAAATCAAGCCAACTGTGTCTCCAATGGAATATCCAACCAAGTACTACCATTCTTCCTACCAGAATAAAGTACTGTGGACCCTGGTGGCTGAGAGAATGTATGGCTTACATTGCAAGAGTCATTTTTGCACTCAAAAATATAAGCCTTGTCCTTGCTGCCTTTGACATAGGCGGACCTCCAAGAATTAGCCCAACCACACCCACTGCATTGGATAGGCAGGCGGTAGCCCCAAGGACGGAACTCCACATTAGCCCATGCAAACCTAGAGCAAGTGAGGGCGCCCTCCTTGACAGGTGTCAGCAGATAAATGTCAGAGTGGCGACCAAGGTCACAGGCTTGTGCGAGCATATCCTTGAATGCTAAACGAAGTGGGCAACGTCCAATGAGAACCCTCTCTGTGAACGCAATGAGCAAGTGCGAGGCGAAAGAGGGCTGAAACCGAGGAGCATTGAATGCGATGGTACCGGTTAATTTGTGTCTGTAGGAACATTAGATAATGTCAAATAAACGGAAAAAAAAAACTCACCGGACAACAGCCTCTTGCAAGCCATGGAATGAGTCCAAGTTGGTGACAAGGTGGCCACAACAGAACATCCAGAGGTAGGATTCCTGGGCGGCATCAATGAGAGTTTGCCAGGGTTGGAGAATTATTTCCAAGAACTGTAAAAAGGGTCACTTATTGGCGCACTATGAAAGGAAAAAAAAAAAAAACTCACATCATTGACCGGAGTGCTGATATAGCCCTCTGAGGCATCATCCTCATACCCAGTAAAAGGGTCTCCAAAATCCTCATCAGTGTGAGTAGAGATGCCAATCACAACACGCTCCCAGACAAAGGACTTCTTCAAACCTTTCATTATCTTCTGGATGTTGTTGCGGTAGGTGGGAAGCTTGGCATCAGTGCCAATGTCATAGTAGACGTTGAGATACTGGATGCGGTCGCCAGTATAGTAGGGCTTGAGGAAGGAATGAGCAAACTCCATAGGGCTACCAGCCAATGTGAAGTCGACGAGGATGAGGTGAATGAAAATGACTGTGGCCGCCGAAATTTCGGCTCGCTCAGACACCTCAAGCGCGCCATTGATGGGTAAGAACCTGTCCAAGACCGGAAGGTGGTTGGCGTTATAGAAACCCTGTTATCAATGAGGGGTGAACAAAAACATAAAATAAAATCAAAAAACTCACAAAGTAGGCGCCGCCTTGTTCCATCTTGATGTGGCAACAAATGCACCGGAAAGAGATGTTGTCCTGCAGGACTGTGGTCTCTAAGTCAGGCGGCAGCTGCAGGCAGAGCCTGCACACAACTCTGGGACACAGAGTGCACATGAAGAGAGTATTCTCTTCATAGCGCCCTGCACCATCCCTGCAGACTATGCAATACTAAAAGGAAGAAAGATAAAGCACATTAGTAACTAGATTAGTGAGAAAATGGACGCACCTCATTGTGAACACTTGTATTTGCCAAGTCCCCACCTCCCATAGGCAAGGTGGCCTTGGCAGCGGTCAAAGCCTTCAGAAGAGAGAAAGATAAAGTGAATCAGCAAATACAAGACAGAAAAAGTAAGACGCACCTTATAATGAGCATCTCTCTTCTCAATGTCCCCACCTCCCACAGGCTTGACCTTGGAGGCGGTCAAAGCCTTCCTTCTCCGGCTATCCACTCCAGAAGTCCGGGTGCTTGAGATGTTGAGGAGGACGCGTGGGGCTGAGCCGCCAGTGGATTTCTTGGCGGTGTTCTTGGTGCGGACCATAGCGGGTGACAAGAGCTGGTATTGTAGTTAGTATAGCTAAAGATCAGAGAATAGACAAAGAGAATGAAATAGAAAACTCACATCACATG